GGTTCTGGTGGGGGCGGGGAGGGGAAGGAGGGCTGGGGGACATGGGACAAGGTGACAGAGTTTGGTGACCAGTGCGTCCCTGGATGGCAGGTGCGGGCGGGCATGACGGGCCACTGTTTCTGTGTCCCCACTTGCCTCTGGGTCTTGTGCCCTGTGAGTACCCGAGGGACGCTGCGGGCGCTCCCCAGACAGATCGGCACATGTGCACGGGGGCTTGCGTGTGATCTAAGAGGGCACCGCACTGTAGGCTTGGGGACTGGGGGGACAGGAGCCCTCAGGAGCCTATGTTTGATGGCCTGGGGCCGCCTGGGCAAGAGCTGGGTGGACCAGGGCCAGTGAATTCCGGGCAGAAGGAAACGAGCTGTTCGAAGCCCCCCGGATTCTACGGGCCAGCCCGGAGCACGCCCAGCTTAGCCATGACACCCCAAATGCGCCGTCCTCCGCTGCTCTGGAGCTCATGCAAGTGGACTTTTTCAAGCCTGTGCTTCCGCCACGTTTCTCTGCCCTTGGGGACGGATCCAGTCGCAGCCACAGTTGGTAGAACCAACCCGCGGTTTCCTTTGTGTGCGTGGGGCGTGGCTTCCCCCGGGAGCTGAGAAATGGCCCGGATTGGCGAAGAGCTCTGGAAGGCTCCGTGCCGCACACTGGAGGGGCGTGGCTCAGGAGAAGGCGGGGTTCACGCTGCGACAGGGGGGCAGTCACCTGCCTGAAACGCGATCGGCGCCGCCGACGGGTGAAATTGGAGCTCAGGCGTGGGAAGATGCTCGAAGCTGTGGTCAGCAGCCCGTTTTGTGGTCTCAGCCCACACAGGCGTGCCCGCACGCCCTCCCCGGTTCCCAGTGCACCTGCCCCGGGCCACAGCTCGCTCTGAGCCCACGCCCGCCGCGCCCTCCTTGTCAGCCACCGTGCGGCCCCCTGCCAGTCCACTCCCAGCCCCGCGGAAGGGCTGCTTCACTTCCCCGTCACCTTGGGGTCCCGATGCTACAACGCCCAGAGCTCCTTCCAAGGCAGGAGAGCCCCTTGCGTTCGCCAGGCCGCGATCTGAGGCAGCACAGGGTTCCTGAGGCTAACGGGAAAGGAAACGAGGTGTGCCTTATGCGTGTCTTGCTAAAACGAGCCGTAAACCTCATCATCCAAAGTGTTCAGTGCCCATCGCATTCTGTCTATCATGCCATTCCTCAAATAGGTACCTGTAGGGCGGGGAGGTTCCCCGGGGGCAGGGGGGCGGGGGGGACTGTGGCTGCCTAAACTTGTGACTTGTTAATCCAACCTTGTTCAAAACTCAGAAATTACAAATCCACACGGGACAAGGAATCGGAGCCAGAATTGGAGAATTTTCATTTGATTTGCCAAAAATAGCTTTATCCGGGAGCATGGCAGCTGACACCAACTTTCTCTTATTCTCCTGCGGCTCGTAAAAGTTTACTCCGTGGCTTTGAGGGACAGATTCTGTGATCCTGCGCTGGATGATTAATCCGCGGGTTTTCCAAGCAAGGGGCATCTTCTTACATAAGGATACTCAGAAAGGGAGGCTTTGGTTTTGGTGGCTTTGCAGTTTGCTGGATGCAGGCATCAGCCGTGGCTGAGCAGCGGGCCAGCTGTGCACCCCAAGGAGAGTGGGGGGCCAGCCCAGAGCCAGGCCAGCCTCCCCGTGAACTAGCAACCAGCAAACCCTCTGCCCTCGAGGCCACTATTCCTTCGCCACGGGGCCGTTGGACGGGGTCCACCCAGGTTGGATTAACAAGCCATGGGGCCCGGTCTGGAAATGTCAGCAGGGGCCACCCTCCCTTCCCTGTGCAGAGGGGTGGGGGTGGGGGGGCCCCACCAGGCAGGGGAGAGGGCTGGCTGGGAACAAGTGTTCCTATTTGACGTACTCTCCTTTCTCTTCCCCTTCCTCCCTTCTGCCCGTCTTTGCTCTTCCGTCTGGAGGCAGTGAAAGTGGCCGGAGCACCCCCAGCCTCTCGGTGCTCTCAGACAGCAAGCCTCCCCCCTGCACCTACCAGCAGGCGCCTCGCCACTTCCACGTCCCAGGTAGGCACCCAGGACGCGTGGTCGGGCTCGCCATGCAGAGCGTCTGTTTGCACGGAAGGGCCGTGGTTCCCAAGCCTCTCCGCCCCCCGCCCCCAATTCTGCGGGTTTGCACACCCCGTAGCTGGCCTGTGTTTGAGCTTCTCCCAAAGCCATACAAGCACCAGGGAGACGTTTTTGCCCTCCTGGAAATGTGCTGGAGGGAAGGCGCTGTCCGGCCGGCTGTGCACCTTAGCCGCCTCCCTCCCTCTGCCCCTTGAAGTAGGTTCTGGCATCGGGCTGGGCGACGCTTAGCTTGCGGTGTGGGTCCCGGGCATCAGTCACCTGTGGGGCGCGAGATCCTTTCTGGCCACTTAGGATCCGGTGCCTGAGGGCTGACGTGGGATGGAAACCTCCAGTCTGCTGGCTCACCCTGCTCTTCTCCTCTCTCTCTTCTTTCCCAGACACTGGCGTAAAAGATAACATCTATAGGAAACCCCCCATCTACAAACAGCATGGTACAGTCAGCTCTCCTCTGTCGCTGGCTCCCTGCATGCCTGTCGCACCCTCTTGCTGTGACCCGATGGGCGATGGGGAAGGCACCGCGGGCAGTCTTGAATGTTACATGTGTTCGCTAGCAGGCTCCCGGGGGCCTCTTCTCAAATCGCTACAGAGGGTGCCCCTGAGTAAGGGCGCCTCTGTGTGTCGTAAGGCCGAGGCTGACACGCGTCGCTGGGCTCGGGGTGGGTGTTCACAACTGAGAGCGGGTTTCCGTGAAAACTGTTTCGCTTTTTTAAAAATTTACTTAATGTTTATTTATTTCGGGAGGGAGACGGAGCATAAGCAGGGGAGGGGCACAGAGAGAGAGGGAGACACAGAATCCGAAGCAGGCTCCAGGCTCCGAGCTGTCGGCACAGGGCCCGACGCGGGGCTCGAACCCACAGACCACAAGATCACGACCTGAGCCGAACTCGGACGCCCAACCGACTGAGCCCCCCAGGCGCCCCAACACTGTTTCACTCTGAGTGAAGCAGCCAGATTGGCTTTAACCAAGGTGGTGGGGGACAAAGGCTTCTTGGACCACAGCCCAACCCAGCCTGATTTTTGGAAAACATAACAAACCAGATTTGGTCATTTATTCCTGCGGGTTAGGAATTTCTGACGATAGAATGAATAGCTAGTTTTCAGGTAAAGAGATTGTTGCCTCAACAGATAGGGGCTGGGGACGTCTAGCAGCGAGGGGGTCCCCTCAGCCCCCAGTTTCCCTCTCTAAGCGAGGGGACTGCCCGCCTCCGCTCCACCGGAGTCTGCCCGCCTGGGACAGGTGCACAGGCAGCATGTGGAGCCACGGAGCAGGAAGCAGAAGGCTCAAGGTCTCCCCTCTGTTTCTTGATGGAATCTCTGGGTGGTTTGGGCATGTTACTTCACCATCCTGAGCCTCTGTTTCCTCATCTGCAAAATGGGACCGAGCCCTCCGCCCCGCCCTTTCCACAGGCCGGTTCTGAGACCAGATGGAATAATGAATGTGGAAATGCATTATAAACTGTGACGTGCTGTGCACGTGACGGGGAGATGGGAAGAGGAATTCCCACATTTACGGTTCTTGTCCAGATGCACCCAGAGAAAACAGCCACGTCCCATGTTGACCACTGCATCACTCACCGTGAGACGGAACCCTATAAGAGTGTGCTTTCTGTGACTTACTGCTAAATCAGTGCTCTGACCGTACAGACAACAAGGTTCTTACTTTTCCCTTGATTGCAGTAGGGCCTGTGCTTTGCACATGCACTTGTGTCTCCTCTTCCCAAGAAGGAAGAAAATGGATTCCACTCTCGGGTGCCGAGAGGGCGGTGACTTTCATACCGTGGCCTCTCAGCCGGGGAAGCTTGGAGCACAGATCTCCCAGAGGGATCAGAGAGGGGTGGGCTACTTAGACGCCAGGGCTCTTAGAGACTGTCCAGACCAGCCCCCTCTTGTTACTGGTGGGGAGCCCTGAGGCCCAGCTGAAGGAAGGAGCCCTCGCGTTAAGTGCCGTCTTCACATCACGGCACCCGTGTTCGAGCCTGCGTGGAAAGCGGCGTGTTCTGTTCTTGGCCCACAAGTGGGATTCACAGCCTTGGCCTTTTATTAACCTCAAACATGTAATTAACGCACGTGGTAGAGGAGGGACCAGCTCCTTAGAAAGCGGAAGAGGCCGTAAATCAGATAATGAACCAGCTCAACGACATCTGAAAGCCAGTTCGGAGCCAGAGGACTTCCGACATTAAGTCCTTTGATTAGATCGCCCCAGGGAGGCATTTGATTTTTACCGTTACCAGCAATAATCCTGGTGCTGTTGTTTTTAAACTGGAATCGAAGGCCCCTCCTACCCAAAAGCGAGTGAATTCCAATATAACGGAGCCCCGAGCCATGACTGAAGCCCATTGATTTCGGGCATCTGGCATGTCGAGTCTTTTACCAAGGAAGCTCTGTGGACTACCTGCTGTCCACTGGGCATTGGCCACATTCCAGGGATAAACACGAATGAAGTCTCTCCCTTTGTGCATGGACATGGGCTGTGAATGGAGGGGTCAGCATGGGCGTGCACTGTCCTTGACCCGGCTTCCTTCCGTAGCACTCGGAAAATGATGGTTGTGTTAGGATGCATTTGGTTTTGAACGTATTTGAGATGTTTGGATTACAAGATTTCCCCCATCCAAGTGAGCACATCCTGTCGGAAGTATGTGTGTGTGAGCGCGTGCGTATGTTGTGAGTGTGTGTGAGTGCGTGTGTGCACCCCCCCCCACTATGTTGAGCAAAGTGACCACCCATCATCTCGCAGGAGAGAGGAGTGTAGTTCAGGTTTAAGAAGCCAGTCTTTGACTCTCCATCTGTCTTGGGACCCTCTGGGTGATGATGTTAAGTCACTGGACCATTTAACTACTTTAAGATAACATATGCATTTAACTACTTTAAGATGATACATCCAACCAGTTTAAAAATCATAGTTTTTTTAAATTTTTTGTTTGAGTTTATTTATTTTGAGAGAGAGACAGCGTGAGTGGGGGAGGGGCAGGGAGAGAGGGAGAGAGAGAGGATCCCAAGCAGGCTCTGCACCGCCAGCACAGAACCCGATGCGGGGCTTGAACTCACAAAACCGCGACATCATGACCTGAGCTGAAACCAAGAGTCGGACACTTAACCGACTGAGCCACCCAGGCGCCCCTAAAAATCAGTTTTTAATCAATGCATTTACTTTCCAATTCCCTGTTTCCAACCCATAAAAGGTTTTTGTCGTGGTTGCTTTTAATTAGCATCCTGCTTTTCCGGGGTTCGCGTCCCATTCCTGTTTGGGGGGAAGCGAGCCTCCGGCCTGCCGGCTGAGGACGAGGTCGGTTAGCGCCCCATCGGCCGCCGTGAATGTATCCCTGCTCTGCACAGACACTCCATGGTGTCAGCGCTTCTCCTGTTGGCCACTCTGAGGGGGGCACTGAGCCTGGGGACGAGAAGTGGCCACTCTGTGGCCCAGCTGGGGCTCACCCCCAGGTCTGCCTGACCCCCGACCTCCAGCCCCCGACCTTTCTGCTCTCGTACAGCATTTAGGGCCCGACGGTATATTCTTGTACTGTATCCGTTCCAGCTCTGCTTGGTTGTGATTTAACGGCTTTAAAAAAAAATAGTAAGACAGAAGAAAGGAAGCAAAAGGGAGTGAATGGAAGATAGGAAACAGTGGGGGGACAGGCCAGGCCAGGACGAGAAAAGCCCTTTCCTGCACAGTCGGGGACAGACGCGGAGCAGGGCCAGCCGTGGGACGCTGAGTGCAGGCAGGACCAGGGCGCTGTGCTGGGGAGCCCGGTGACCTTGGTGAGGCAGGCACAGCTCCAGCCTCGGCCGCTCCCCGTCCCCGCCTGAGAGTGGGCTCCAGGCTGCTCTGCCATCGAGCTTTGACGCGAGGCGCAGAGCGGAGCTTTCCGGCGGTGGATGCCCCGGATGGGGCAAAGCTGTGCTAGGTTTCAGACTGCTCCAAATGAATTCCAGAGGAAAACAGAACACGTTCCCCGCACCACCACCCCCCCCCCAGGAAGCCGAGTGTCCAGACGCAGGCATAGGACTTGCATTTCCCCAAACGCTGTCTCATTTGTAAGCCAACAGAGCTCTCGGCCGGCGGCCATGGGAGTCGAAGTCCCTGCCCAGGAGCCCTGCACCTGCAGCCGCCCCGCTGGCGAAGGAAGGGTGCTCACTCCGTCCTCCCGCCTGGGCCAGACAGCAGACGTGGCCCCGTGGGACATGCACGCTGTTCCTCTGGTCCCTGGTCTGAAACGGGAAGCAATAGCTTCTCGTGTGTCTCTGGGATTCCTTTGTGGTGAGGTTGAGTCTCGTCTTGGGGGTTTGGGGAACGTGTCTTGGGATGAGAGGAAAGAGAAGGCAGGTGGGCTGTGGGTCCAGAAAGAAACTCGGAAGCCTGCCACCCTCCTGGGGATGCCTCCGACGGAGGGTCCCCGGGGCTGTCCCAGGAGGGCTCCTCACGGCAGATGCATCCCAGGCTCGGAGGGAACTGCCTGGTGTCTTAGGACAGACACAACCCGATTTCCTGGCCGTCTTCTGCCCACACTGTGAGACACCCTACTGCCAGTCGGCCTCAAAGCTGGCCTCTTGTTTTCTCCTGCTTTTTCCGGACCTCTCCCAGCGTGTTACCGCATCCACATACGTTATCTCACAGATCCTTGCAACTTGAGGGTGGGCGTCACTTGCCCACTTTACAGATCAGGAAACTGAGGCTCGGGGTTGTTAAGGAAGCAGGCCACAAACAATACAAAATTCTGGGTTCCTGTATTTTCCTCCTCCTGCTTCCGCATCTTAGATTCTGTCGTGTGTGTCTCCGGCTGGCACACTTAGCCTTTGGAAAGCCCCCGGACATGTGTGGCCCACCCTGTCACCCACGGCTGTGTGACCTCCTCAGACCCAAGATGGCCTCTGGTCCCTGTGGCCTGAACTCCAAGGGCTAGGATTTCACGTCCCAAAGAGCCCCTTGGCTTTTTTTTTTTACACTTGCAAATTACCCCCACTGTGGGGTAATTTGGGGGCCCCCGAGGGCTCGTGAGGGGTGCGCTCACTGACTCACCCGTGAACCCAGCCCTGGAGGCCTTCTGTGGGCTGGGTGATGGCTGTGCTCCCAGGGCTCCAAGTAGCCACTAGCCTGATTGTCCCCAGGGCTTGCTGGGCCGCTGGCTGCCAGGAGTCTTGGCTGATGTACGGCCAGACCCTCGGGGCTCTGCTACCCAGCGAAGGCCGTTGTCTGGGCAACGGGCGAGCCCTGGCTGGTGGGCATGCGTCCGCCTCGGTTCCCTGCCCCCTGCTCTCTGCCCGTCACGGTGCTTGTCACGCAAGCTGGCTGTAAATTGGCCTCCAGGAGTGGAGAGAGCAGGGTTTTCATTTTCATGCTGGAAAATCACTGTCTCTCCTGGAAGAAGGAGAAACAGGTGGCCGTCAGGAGTAATGAGATGTCAGCGTATCCAGAACGCTCTTCAACTGTGACCTTATCTTGTCAAGGTCCTGTAGCCCAATCCCCAATTTCCAAGCTCTCGGGCCTGATGTCAGTCTTGTCCTTGGTGGTGCACAAGGCAGGGTGCTCCAAAAGGCTAGAAGGTCCAAGCCCTCTGCGGGCTGCAGGTAAGAAGCCCACCCCTGGCATGTCCTTCCCGTGGCCTCGGTCCCCGTGGAGGGTGGGGAAGGACCCTGGGGTTCTCCTTTCATCGTCCGTGCATGGGGGTCCGTGTTCTTGTATGGGAAGTCCCGAGTCAGATCCTGAGAACTGTCGGGATGCCCTTGTACGATTTGCTTGATCAGATGTCCTTGGAGGTGATGTCAGCCCAGCTGGGTGACAACCCCCACCCCCACGGAGAAAAAAAAAAAAAAGCCCAGTGGAGAATACAGACTCCTTCCTCCTCAGCTCCAAATAGCTCTCTTGGTAGGCACACTACTGCGAAGTGGACTTTCGCTTGGTCGAGTCCGCTGAGGTCGCCTCTGGCTGTATGTCGTACCTCCTTTCCTGCTCTTCGAGGACCTTCTCCAGGGGCAGAACTCACAGACTGTTGTGTGTTCTGCGGGCGGCAGGAAGCGAGGGGGGCAGACAGAGGGAGGACTTTGGAGACAGACCATCTGGGTTCAAATGTCAGCCTCTGCCACCCCCCATCCATGGTCTTGAGCAAGGCCATCATGTCTCTGAGCCTCAGTCTCCCGATCTGTGAAAGGGGTTGCATGGGCATAAGCAGTAGTGCCTTACTGGCTGAGTCGGACACAGTAGGCGCTGGTTGGCCAAAACCTCCTCTTACTTTATGTTAACCTGAAAAGCAGAGAATGCGTTCTTCCAAAGGCCAAGCGGCTGCATCGGAAAACATGGCTCGATCTCTCTGTTGTGTGTGGAGGGCGGGGGATTGGCTGGAGTTTTAAGAGCTCATCACTGTGCACACCGCTCTTGGTTTTAAGAATCGTCACACGTGAGGGCGCGTGGCCGCTGCCCACGGTGTCCCCGCGGGAGCCTTCTCCAGCGTGTCCTGTCCCCCAGCCCTGAAAAGGCACTCGTAGTGTTGACCTTGGCTTGATCACCCTCTGTCTCTGAGCACACTGTGGAGCGGGAATGCTGTGGCGGGGAGGCGCGGCCTAGTTGATGCATTGCCCTGACAAGCCGCCTCTTCCCTTCCAGCCGCGAGGCGACCAGACGGAGAAGACGGCAGTTTCGAGCAGGATAACAGGAAGGTAATACGGGGGCAGGTCTGGTTTAAGGCCACCCTGCCCGGAGGGAGCCTGGTTTCGTGGGGATTCTCCAGCGGAAACCTCAGGTCCCCTCGCTGACATTCTGCTCCTGGTTGGGTCCCACGAGGCTGTATGCCCCAGGGGCCAGATTTACGAGGTGCCCCTGCCCCCAGCCTCCTCCTCACACGCAGGACTAGCTCGTCTCCTGCCAAAGTCCCCCTTAGGTGCCCGTGTCACTTTCCTGGTTCTGTAACTGAGCAGATGTCCGAAAATAAAGGAAAATACGTCAGCGTGTGGTCTGGGGGCATCTGGGGTGATTGCTCGAGATCGGGCTTGGCGGAGTGCTCCGTAAAGGGTCCGAGGGTAAATATTTAGGGCTTGGGGGCCGTGCCGTCTCTGGTGCGGCTCTTTTGCTGTGAAAACAGCCAGGGGTGGAGCATGGAGTCACGGGCACGGCCACGTCCCGCAACGTGTCAACTACGAAAGCGGGCTGTGGGCAGGGTTTGGCCCCCCGGGCTGAGTTTCCCCAGCCGCCCCCGGCTGGAGAGCCAGGGCCCTTGTCGTCAAGGGAGGGAGGCGTGTGTGGAGAGAGCCCACACCTGGCTCCCCGCCCCCCATGCACCGCCGTGAGAAGCCCTGACCTCCTCGAACCCATTTTGTCATCTGTAAAATGGGGCAGTGCCATAGCCGATGACCTGGAAATTCACGTGACTTGTTTTTTCTCTCAGCAGAAGACCAGCTGGCTGATTCTCAAGGGGGACGCAGACACTAGGACTAATTCTCCAGACCTAGACAGCCAGTCTTTGTCCCTCAGTAGCGGGACCGATAGAGACCCTCTCCAAACAATGCAAGGGGACAACTTTTACTCACGTGAGTGGTTCTTTTGAGCAAAGAGCTGTACGTGTGGCTTGAAAGGCCTCGCAGCAAAGGGGCCCCACAGCCTGGAACCCGTCCCCCCAGATCCAAGCCTTGCTCATTAAAAAAAATACACAAGAGCAAACCAGGTAGGAGTGAGGACCCTTTTCTGTTTGAGTTTCCCTCGGACATCGTTAGCTGGCGAGCTGCCAGCGGGCATGCTGGCTTGTCTCCTGGAACATTCCGGAGCTGGCCAGAGCCCAGAAAGCCAAATGGGGCTCCCGGGCTCTTTGGCAAAGAAGGCGTCTCGGGCCGCCAGGCTGGAAGCTGAGGGCCTGTTTCCCAGAGCAGACGTAAGCATGGTCCAGGCAGGGGAGTCCAGACTGGGAGTCAATGACAGGGCACTGCCACCCGGTGCTGGTCCTGAGCAGAGATCCGGGAACTGGGGGCTTCCCGTCCCCAGGGAGCACAGATGACGACTGTCTGGCTCTGGGAGCCGTGAGGGCTGGATTAGGAGTGGTTTTCAGATGTAGGGCGAGGCTCCACACGGTATTCTAGAGGCTGTGAGTTCCCGGGGAAACCACGGCCAGCTACAGGGGGATGCCCCCGGGAGGTCTGGACGTGGTCTTCGGGCCCCAGAGGGGCCGTGGGTGGTGCCCGGTGGGTGAGCGTGAGGCGGAGCGCGAAAGCGAAGGATGGGGACGGGCGTGAGAAGGCAGAGAGCGCAGCGGATGCCGGCTGGGCCGCTCCTTCGTCGCGGGGCCTCTGTCCCACCCACCTGCCTGGCCGGGCGGGTAGAGACCAGAGGAGGGGACACGCACGCACAGCCAGCGCTCTGCCTGGCCCATAGTAGGTGCTCAGCGAACAGACTGTCATTGTCATCCTCACCTCCATGACTGAGCCGTAACGGGGCTGACAAATGAAAGCCTTCGCGGGCAGGGGAGGGGTGAAGAAGGCCGGGCATCACTGATGGTTGAAAAAGAGCCCCGAGCACAGCAAAGACGCACCGTTTCGTGGATGAGTTTCGTAAGCAGACATCTGTGAGCCCACCCCAGCCCCGCCTTGCGCCTCCGGCCCTGCCTGGGGTGCAGCCTTCTAAATGTGGGGATGTCTGGGCCGGCGCAAAGGGTGGATGTCACCGCGGGAAGGCCACACCAAAGCAGTCCCCCAGAGTGACCCGTCCACCACGGGGGCACCCCTCCCGGCTGCCCGTACCGCCCGCAGGCGGGGTGCAGGCCCGGGGCCGGTCCCAGCACGACCCACCGACCGGGCAGCCGCAGTCCGTCCCCCAGCCCGTCTCTCCTCCAGGCACCCGGCGCCCTGGGTGGCTCAGGACTGACACCCGGGCCCCGGGCCGTTGCTGCTTTGTGTTCCCTTGTTTCTCACGGCAGCTGTTTTGGAAGGCGGTGCCTCCAGCCGCCCTCCTGTGCCCGGGTGTCGTGGCGTTCCCGGCGAGGCCCAGGGGCTCTCAGGAAGCCAGTGTCTGGGGACGTCAGGGTGGCCCTTTCCAGCCTTCCGCCCTCTGCTTGCTGGGCGGGGCTCGGCCCCTCGCCTCCCGCTGACCCAGGGATCCCCACTTAGGCTCGCAGGCCACCCGCGGGAGGAGGGGCACCACGCGGGGAGAAGCCGCGGCAGGAGACGGGCTGCCGGTGGGGACCTCCTCGTGCCGCCGCCTGCCGTGTGCCCCGTGCATGCTGCCTTCACCCCGGGAGCGGTGTGAGCCCGCCTGCACCTGCTGCAACCAGGTGCCCCGGGTGTCCCAGAGGTGGAGGACCCCGGCTAGGCCCGAGGCTGTGTGCGCTGATTTGATCGGCCAATCACACACCTGCAAGGTCTTGTTTCGGCCCCGCCCCCACTGTTGCCGCCCCATCACTGGGGCACAGGCAGGCGACCACACATTGGGGGAGGGGAGTGCTGGTGCTTCTCATCCGGGCACACCTGGCCTTAAGGAATCACCTGGCCTGTGCCAGAATCCACCATCTAACTGGGGAGGTTCCTCCAAAGTGCATACAACGTGTGTGTGTGTGTGTGTGTGTGTGTGTGTGTGTGTGTGGCCTTCCCTTTACCGATGCTTGCTTCTGGCAATCACCATGGTTCTGTCATTCCTTCACTTTCTACGGTGTCCTGATGTCGGCTCCTCTGAGCAGGAAGCCCACTGTGCTATCACACGTGTCCTGAAGACACTGCCTTGTTTACCGATGTGCATGGACCCGGGCTGCTGGCCATGCCCACATCGAGCGTGCCTTGCCAGCTGCCAGCCGATTGAGAAATTCGGGCGGGGTGGGCAGCACCCAGAATCCGAGGGCCAGGTCCCCTCTTTGCCCGGGGCTCCTTGGACTATCCCCGAGCAGCTCCCAACGTGAGTGCATCGACACCGGTCCCGTTGGGAAATGACTGTTCTTGAACGAAGCAGTTGCACACGGCAAGGCACGCCCAGCCGCGTCCCCGGGACACCCATCTGTAGCGCGCCCAAGGAAGGTAGGATTGTGACACTCAACACAGTGGGCGCTCAATAAATGTTTGTTGAATTGAGATGCGTTAAATTCAACGGGTATTTATTGAGCACCCACTCTGTGCCAGACGCTGTGTGGGGCGCGAAGGGGGGGCACCGAGAAGACGAGAGCGGCCCCCGCCCCGGAGAAGCATACAGGGCGCGAGAGAGGCGGAGTCGCCGGCGGGAGCGAGCACCCGTGCGTCCCGCCGCCACCCACCGGGGGCCTCCGAGGGCTGACGGGGAGGGGGCACGGCTCATGCCACCCATGACACCATCGGCACATCTCACGTGGGGCTGAGCTCATCATTCAGTGCTTCATCCATCCCTCCACCAAACATTTATTGAGCACCTACCATGTGCTGGACATGGTGCTAGGCAGCGGACAGGCGGAGGGGAGTGTGGCGCAGGGAAGCAGATGACTGAGGCGCAGTGACAGAGCAGCGCGGACCCCCCTCCTTTGTGGCAGCGGCTCTCCGCTCGCACCGTCACCCCCTCTGAAGAGGGTCTCGTTGAAATACACATTTTATGAGAGACTGCTTTTATTTTCCTTTATCCTACACCCAGGGTCCTATCTGGACCGTGTGTTTGGTACGTTGTGGCACCAGTGAAGCTGACTTTGGCACGGGGAAGGGTGGCACGGAGCGCTTGTTAGAAGCAGAGGGTCTTGAGCCCCCAGAAGAACACGAGGCGACGTGAGCCCCCTTCCGCAGCCTGGACCCTGCGGTCGGGCCTGCTGCCTGCCCTGGGTCCCACGTTCCGAGCCCCTGAGGTTCTGCCTTCTCCTTTGAGGTCCCCCACGACGCCCTCTGCGTGGTCAGGGAGGTGTCGGCATAAGACAAAGCCCCAGCCGGCTGGAGACCCCACCTGGAGGACTCAGGGACCCCTAGAAAGACCCCAGGGGGGTGGGGGGGAAGCTCTGCTTTGGAAACTGAGGCAGCACAGATGGTGGTCCCTGTGGCTTTGGCTTTTGCGTCCCCTTCTGTGTGTCCCTCCCTGTGGAGTCCCGTGTTTGATGGGACGCGCTGGTCTTCACCCGGGGTCCTGGTGTGGGGCCTGGCCGCGGTCGCCTCCCTGGGTCCCTCCCAGCGCCCACGGGCACGGGGGTTAGGAGGCAGGGCTCTGCGGCAGCTTGCTACCGGCCTGAGGTTTGGTCAGAGATGGCCTTTCTCCCGTCCCCTGTCACTCCTCTGGAGTTGCAGGATGGCAACAATTGCTCCCACGTGTCCCAGTCCACGACTGAAAGAAAGAGACCCCGATTCACCGTCGGCCGGTCTCATGACAGCATCTGGTTCACGTGGGCCCCGCGGCCCCCGGGGGTGGCTCCACAAACCTCAGGACTGAAGAACAACGTCAGGGCTGTTTCCTCCCTCACGACGGGCCGGACGAGGCCCAGGGGGAGGGCGCCACCCTCCCGACCTTCGGCAGATACCTTCCCGAGCACCTTCTGTATTCAGGCCCCGCCGTAGGTGCTGGGGGTAGAGCAGAGGCCTGAAGAGATGACACTCTGGCCCGAGGAGCCCAGCTGCTCGTGGGGTGGGGGCTCAGGAGCAGAGTTAGAAACTAAGTTCCATCAATGCCGTGCAGGTAAGGAGGCCAGGAGGTGCTGGGGACAGTCTTCAATACGGCGGCCGGGGAAGGGAGACCATATCTGAGCGAGACTCGAAGGGGTATAGGCTCGAACCAAGTGGACACTTAGAGGAAGCCTGGCAGGCTTGTGGGTGGCAAGGGGGCCCGTGTGGTAGGGGTGAGGGCTGCGATGCGCGGGGTCATGGGGGACTCGGTCACCCGGGGACGATTCCAGCCTGGCGTCCAAATGGAGCTGTGGTCCTGGAGGGTTCCCGGCAGAGCCCTGACCTCGTCGGGCCTGAGTGGGGGCACGAAAGACCATATGAGGCCATTGCCATCTTCCAGGTTGGGGGACAGTTACTGGGAGGGTGTCCTGTGGGTGTGCGTTCCTAGCAGAGGGTTCCTTTGGGGAAGGTGTCCTGGGGGGTGTGTTCCTGGGGGAGAGTGTCCGGGGACAGGGTGTCCTATGGGGAGGGTTTCTTGGGGGGGGGTTCCCTGGGGGGGGCATCCTGGGGGATTGTCCTAGGGGAGAGGGTCCTGGGGGGTGCTAGGGGGGTGTCCCCGGGGGGTGTTCTAAGCAGCACACGCGGCATGTAGAAACGAGCTGAGGTGAGAAGCGGGGTGGCCATTTGGGAAACAGGAGGCCAGTGGAGTGGCAGGGGAGGGACCAGCCGGGACCGAGCTGGTCTGTCGTGGTGCCAGGAAGCTTCTCTGTCTGCTGAGGAACGGGCCAGCGGTGCAGGGGTGCGGGCAGGGGGACGAGGCAGTCCGTTCTACGTATGGAAAACCAGGACGGACGGGCAACGTCACAGAGGGTAGAAAGGAGGCTGCCAGGCCAGGAAACGAGGGATTGGGGTGTCCACGGAAGCAGCGGGGAGCCCCTTGAGTGGTCTGAATGGCAGGACCCTGTGTGAGCAGGTAAGGCTCGTGTGGCCGGGGGGACAGAATCAGGAGT